TCCTTGAGCTATTTTGAGTCATTGAAATAATTCCATTTATATTCATTGCTCCTCATTAGAAAATTCTTTTGTAATCACTTTATGTAAAATATTGATTTTGAACTTGAAGAGAGTATTTAGTAGGGAGGGAGAAATGGGGAGCTGCTGTTCAACGGGTAGTGTTTCAGTCATGCAAGATGAAAACGTCTTAGACTTGTTGTTTGACAATAGCATATAGTTAACAATATTGTGAAAAGGGCCGGCTGAGTGGCTCAGTTGGTTAAGAGCTCGCCCAAGAGTGCGAGCTCTGAGCAACAGCGGTTTGATGCCGGGCCCAAGCTGAGCTGCCGCTGAGCTGACAACAGGTGGCAGGATGGCTCAGAAAAAAAAAAAAAAAAAAAGAACAATATTGTGTACACTTAAAATTTTGTTAAGAGAGTGAATGTCATGTTATGTGTTTTTATACCAAAATTTTAAAAAGAAGTACTGAGTTGAAAGCAAGCTTATGCTTCAGTTTTTATTGTATATTTTAAATACTTATTCTAAAAAAATGAATTAATTTAAAATTTTAGACTACATTTTTAAATAAGTACTGTTCTCTGCCAATTCTTCCATTTAATATCTCATTTTAAATTATACTGTATCATTTTTAAAAATTGCTTATGTAAGTCAATATTTCAGTGCTAAAAACGTGTGGCTATTACTCAGAGGTGACTATTCATAAGGCCCTTAGATTTTTAAAAGCGGTTCGCAAAATTAAAATACTATATAGATGAAACAACACACTTTCTCCTTAGATTTCTTTTTTGCAACTGTTCCCCTAGACTGTAAGTTCTGTAACGACGGCTTTATCAGTTAATAAATTGGTTTGGCTGCTTTGACAAAGGCTAAATAATAGTGGCTTAAACAAGATCTAGAAGCTTATTTAGCTTATTTCTCTCCTCTACAAAAGTGACTTGGCAGGTGATTTGGGGATGAGGGGTCCAGGGAGGGCAGCTCTGCTCCATGGTATCGTCCAGGGACCCAGGTACATTCTTTCTTGTTGTTCTACTGTCCTGTAGGATGTTTCCTTTTCCACACGGTCTCAGATAAGCAGGAGGAAATGGAGGCCAAGCAACTGCCTGTGAATGTGGGAGTCAGGCTTTTTCTGTAAAGAGTCACACAGTGAATCTTTCAGGCTGTGTAGGCTGCATAAGGTCTCTGTTGCATATTCTTTTTTTTTCTTACAATCCTTTAAACACTATTAAACTTGTAAGCTAGATAACTATTCTTATCTCACAGCCTTAGGACAAGGCCTCAGACTAGATTTATCCCACAGGCCATTGGTTTGCCAGCCTCTGTTTTAAGGCCATGGCATAGAAATTGCATACTTCCTCGTCTGTAAAACAGGGTTAATGATGGGTTGTCGGAAAAGTCATGACACATTTTTGCAACGAAAAACATAGAAAAAGTACGTCGTGACTTTTCCGACAACCCAATAGTATCCCTCTCAAAAGGTTGTTATGAGGATTAAAATGAGATAATATATTCAAAATAGTGCCTGGTACAAAGTAACTGGTTAGAAAATGTTGACTGGTTCTATTATTATTATAATAATATTTAACTTCATCTGTGAAAGACAATTGGCACATTTTTCTTTTACCTCCTGATTTTAGACATGGTTTATGACATTTTTACCTATAATTGCCACAGTTGTTTAATGTTAGCACTGTATATAAATCAATGCTCTAGTCCTTTTCTCATGATTTTTATTTATCTGAATTCTTTATTTTGATTTTGGTTTAGTGCCTCTGTTCAATAGATTTCATTATCTAGTGGTTGTTTTAAAAAGATACTGTATTCCAAGTTTTTGCATTCTTGAAAATGTCTGAACATTGGTTTTATATCTAAAGGATAGCTTAGCAGGGTATAAGATTCCTGGGTAACCTTCCGCCCTCCCATCTCAAAATTTTTTAGAATTATATGGCTATATTGAAGTCTAAAGTCAATTCGATTGTCCCACTTTATATGTGACTGACTTTTTCTGCCTGGAGGTCCAATCCAGGCAGATTCTTTATTGTTGATTTGGAGATTGGGAAGTTTTTCCTATGTGTTATATGCCCTTTTAAAATGCAGATTCGGGTTTTTTTAATTTGTTTTCAATTTCAAGAACATTTTCTTGCATTATGTGTTAGAATATTTTTTTCTGTTCTATTTGTTCTTGTCTTCAGGAATTCCCCTGTGTATATCAAATCTCTCATTTGCTTTTTTCCATCACTTTTATGTATTTTGTTAATAGTTTTTTAGTATGTTTTCCACTAACCTGTCTACAATGTCCCATTCTATGTTTTCAGTTATTTTATTTTTCACTGCCTTTAATTGGATTTGAATTTCTAATATTTGTTTTTTCCTCTTCTATTTCTTTCTGTGCTTTGCCAGTTTTCTTTTCATCGCCTGTTACAATCTCTTACTTGAGCTCTTTCCTAAGAAAGCTTATGTCTCTAAAGTCTATGATATTAATGTGGAACTATTTGTTTTTATCTCTTCTTTCTTTGTTTAGTTTCATTGTGAGGTGTTTTCTCCATCTGCCTTTTGCTTATTGTTCTCTTTGTCCTTTTTTGCACCTTTCCCCATCCCCCTTTTATATAGGTCCTATGCTGACCCTTCATTATTGAGTAGGTCTGTAGTGAGGGGAGGCAGGGTGGCTAAGGAGGTCCACAGCTTTGATTTGGGTTATTTGTCTCAGATGCCCTGTCACCTTTGCCCTCGAAGCACATCCATATGTTGGTGTTTAGGGGTCAGTGTGACTCCTGGCAAAGCCTGTGTAGTCAGAGGGTTAGTAATGTTCCCTCCTAGCCCTGCCTCACTTCCAGTTGGCCTCAGCTAAGGAGAGAGCCGTGCTCTCCTGGGCTTTCTCCACCTCTCATGGGCCTGCTGTGGCTCCCTCATGCCCTCCGGCCTTTTGCTTCTGTGACAGGGACATTCAGGGATTTCTTCTTCCTGCTGCAGTCTGAGTAGATGTGTCAGCTCTCAGCTTCCTCCTCATTTGGGCCCAGCTTTCACAGTATTGTTGCAGAGATGCTTTAGAATTTGTAGATTGCAGTTATAGCATTCCTTTGCTTTATGTGTAATAAGATTGTCCCACTTTTTTTTTTTTTTAGAAATTTTATTGGGGAACAGTGTGTTTTTCCAGGACCCATCAGCTCCAAGTCAATTAGTTGTGGAGGGCGCAGCTCCCTGGCCCATGTGGGAATTGAACTGGCATCCTTGGTGTTGTGAGCCTGCGCTCTCACCACCTGAGCTAACTGGCTGCCCCGAGATTTTTCTACTATTTATTAGCTATTGTTTTTCGTGAGTTTTGAGTAGGGAGAGAAGAAAACAACTTCACCAGTAGGTTTAATTGTTTTTTTTATGCTTTATGTTTTATTTTGAAAAATTAAAAAAATACAGTACCACACCTATAATTGACCATGTGATTTTGCCACCTTTTTTTCATGTCTTTATCCTTTTATAAAAGCAATCAAGTGTAGCGGGTTCAGCTGAGGTTCCCCTTGCTCACCACCCCCAGGCTCACCCCTCGCCCCCACCCGTGGGATCCCAAGGCAATCACTAGCTGTGCAGTCTCTTTATATTTTAAAATACAAATACAGGTATCTATACACAACATATAACATTGCTTTATATGTTTAGGATGTTTAGCCAAATGGTATCACACTGTTTTATTGTTCTGCAATTTGTGTTTTTCACTTAACATTGTTTATGAAATCTGTTACAAAAACACACATGCGTTTTTGTGGTTTCTCTTCACTGTTGTGTGTTATTTCATGATAGGAATACATCACATTCATTTGCCCTCTTGGTGGACATTATTAAGGCTAGCATGTCACTGGACATCTTTATACTGCTCTTTTAGGCTTATATGCATGACTTTGTCAAGAAGTAAATGTTCGAGGTTATAGGTAATAATGCCTTTTCATTATTACTAGATACTAAGTAGTTAGTACTGCCAGTACTGACTAATTGCAGAGCCACATGATGGTACCAATGTACCCTCTTACCTGCAGTGAATGACAGCCCCTCCGCATGTATGTCAGTGTTAATTTTGGATACCCATTCTAATATGTGCTGTTTCCTGAGTAACCCTGAAGTGAATGCAGCGTTACATAATGATGGCAGTTGGATGGATGGGATTTCCAGCATTGGTTATTTCTAGGTGAATTTAGGAGTAGAGAAGAATGACAAATCATCTAACGGGAGTCCTACCAAATATAGTTCAGCCTGCATCTGAGATGAGATTACATTCTATTGGTTTTCTTTGCCATTTCCCCCCCAGAGTACCTAGAGCCGAAATAAAGTTTTAAAGGTGCTAGTGTCTTTTTTGGGGTGGGATGGGGGTGGCAGGGAAGATATGATAAAGTGTGTTATTATTTCTTAGAAGAGTATTACCGTCGTTGTGCCTGTGTGCTATTTTCTGCTTGGAGTGAATGTATTTCTGGAACTCTCTTCCCAGTTGTTTACCTGGAAATCTGGAAATCATTACATATGTTGCAAGTGAACTGTGAAATGATTAGATGCTAATGTGTCAAAGAAAGTGTGATTTCTCTCTTAGCCCATACATTTAGCTTAATACAGTAAGTTAATGCACAACTCTCTGTGCTTTTTTTTAATTTTATTTTTTAATTGGGGAACAGTGTGTTTTTTCCAGGAACCATCAGCTCCAAGTCAAGTATGTAGTTGTTTCAATCCAGTTGTGTGGAGGGCGCAGCTTGGTGGCCCATTCGGGAATCGAACCGGCAACCTTGGTGTTATGAGCCTGTACTCTAACCACCTGAGCTAACTGACTGCCCCCACGACTCTGTGCTTTTGAATTGTATGGTTCAAAAGTACTTTTCACCCATATGAAGAGGTGCTCAGTATTTTAGTGTTAAGTCAGGATCCAACCTCTCTTCCTCTCTCTCTCTCTTTTTGGTGAAATGCTTGTTTTGCTTCTTCGTTTCTTTAAAATGTCACAGTTCTTCATATATGCAATCTTCACCTTTCAGAAAAGCAAGAGGAAAGGGCACGAATATACGAATATTAAGTATTCCCTAACGGACCAGACAAGTGGAGATCAGAGTCCCCTCCCGCCGTGTACCCCAACACCATCCTGTGCAGAGTAAGTAGTAATGAAGGAGATTCTTTTTACCTAAACACAATTCTATAGAAATGAGTCTTTGTAGCACACGCCTTTCATTGGTGCACAGAATTGTTGCCCAACCTATGAGTGAGTGTATCAGTGACTATCTAAACTAAATTTTGATTTACTTAAACTGAAGGCTGATTGCTACACAAACTAGGATTATATGCCGTTTAAAAGTATATTAAGTGGTGGTTCTCTAAGAGGAATCTTCATTTTTCTTTCACTGGGGTGGGATTTGTTGCAGAGGTAGATAACGTCCTTTTTGATGTGTCAAGACTCTTTGCTAAGTAAAAGTAAATAAATTGACCATCAATGTGTCAACAAAATCATGATCTGCTAATTTCCCAGTCAACAGAAATCTACTTTGGGGTTTAAACCAGGAGCCAGGGAACTACAGCTCCTATTCCAAGTGCTGGCCACAGCCTGTTTTTATACAGCTCACAAATGGGTTTTTTTTTGCTTTTTTGGTTTTTTTAGCTGAGCCATCCTGCCACCTGCACAAATGGTTTTTAAAGGGTTATTAACCACACATGCAGAATAACATATATGACAGAGACTATGTATGGCCTGCAGAGACTAAACTATTTATCCTCTGGTTCTTTATAGAAAAACGTTGTTGATTCTTTGTTTAAAACGCGATAGGAAAACATTTGTCAAATCGATTATGTGAATGACAATTGTCAGTCATTTTTCCATATATTCTAAAGTCATCCTCTGGTATAACATTTGCTCCCTTCCCTCTGCCCCCAACAGTCGTATCTCTATTTGCTTCTGATATGGATGTTTACACCCCTGCTGACTTTAATGCTCTGTATAAATATTTTAGATAGCATACACGAGGCTTGTATTTATATTTGCTTTCTATTTAACATTGACATGAAATTATACAACAAAAGTGTTCTCTCCACCACGCCACCTCTTCCCTCGGCCTGCGTTTTTCTTTCCCGGTGGACTGACAGGGAGAGTTGATATTTTAAACTGCTATCTGCAGTAATCTGCAGTGGAACCCGCTTGTCTGGGTCCTTGCCCAAATGCTTTCCCCACATGTCGGCACCACAGAATCAGCTTCTGGCTGCTCCCTTGTTCCCAGTACCTGCCTGTGACTCACAGGTTCTCTTCCGCTCTGTTCCCGTCGTCCCCCCTATAGGGCGCAGACACAGGATATGTTGGACCCCCAGCCCCTTTTGCTTGTTGCGCCTCGCTTCTCTCAGGCTGGCACCCACAGCTGCGGGGTTCCTTGTCCTCCCGGACTGCTGCTGTGCTGTGTTCTCCCTCCCTGCTCAGCTGACCGAGTCCGGGCTCCGATGCACTCACCCTCCATCCCAGGGCCCTAAACCCCACCTTGAGCTTCATGTTCCCTGTTGCCCTTGACGAGGCTGGATTCAAGGCCTGACTGCTCCTAGACACTCGCCCTTCTTAGAACTCTTGCCTGTTCAGATCCTTCTGCTTGAAATGAACACTGTTGCTTTCTATATGTACATGTCTCCCGTCTCCCCCCACCCCCGCCACCACCACCCTTCTTCAAGGTGTAACTCAGAGGCCGCATTGTACACGCCTCCTTTGCTCTGCCCACCCAGAAAACAGCTCATTTCTCTCTAAATCCCAGAGAGCAGAGGTGCCCAAGGGTCTTCTTTCACTTTTAGCTTCACAATTACATTGCTGTAGGTTTATGTCTTCTATCCTGTCATAGACTGTCAGCTCCTGGGGGCAGGCACCATGTCTGCACCATAGCTGGTCCCCAAAGAATATATATAGTAGGTGCCTTAAAGAGACGTAAGCCTAAACGGCACGGCCTGCATTTTTGTTAACATCGTCTTTTTTCTTTTCAGAATGAGAGAAGATAACGCTAGAGTCTATGAAAACGTGGGTCTGATGCAGCAGCAGAAAAGTTTCAGATGAGAAGACCCGCCAAGACGTTGACACAGACATATAGGTATTTTTTTTTTTTTTAGATTTTTATTGGGGAATTGGGGGGATGGGAACAGTGTTGGGGAATTGGGGGAAGGGGAACAGACAAGTTGCTGTCCTTTTGTTCTTCAATCTAATTGTGGAGGACGTTGCTTCACTGGCCCAAGTTGGCACCATCATTGCGCTCTTCCCAGGCGAGGCAGATCAGTTGCCGGCTGCTGAACGGCTGCTCACTGCGGCTGCTGGCCGCTCACGCTGCCTGCTGGCTACACACGGTAGCCCATGGCAGCCCACTGCCACAGGGGCTGCAGCCTATGCCGTCGCCTGCGACTCACGGCAGCCCAGCTCCAGGTTGAGCTGTTGTTCAGCATTTTAGCTGTGCAGGGCAGTGTCACTGGCCCTCATATGTGGGATCCGAACTGGGTTCCTCTGGTGTCCCAAGCCAGCTCTTAACCATCGCGCCACTCGGCCGGCCTGACATAATAGGTATTTCAATGGAAGTTCTGTACCGGTTAATTGTTTATAGCGTTTGTGGCATTTTTAAGTGGGCACATCATTTGTGAGTGTTGCAGCAAAGTCTATCATGATCGAGTTTTACAAATCAGCCTCCCTTTTCCTGTCCCTAAACTTCTTTTGTCCAAGATGGATATATTTTAGAGTTCATTAAGCATTAAAACCAAATGCAGAATTAACTCTATGAAGGACAGGGTTAGCGCTTATTATAGGGAAATGGTTGATATTGGTGATGGAACACCAGCTATCCCCAGTCCTGCAATTTTTATTAGAGTCGGTTAACCCACGCTGTGCAGGGAGATGATGTGTAGGGATCCGGGGAGCATGGAAACAGCGCTGGATGGTTGGAGTCAGGATGCCTGCGTTCTCATCCCAGGTGGCGTCTGACTGGCTGTGTGACACAGGCCATCGACAACCCGGGCCTCCAACAGGCTTCGTTCCACATCCCTTCCAGCTCTTATTGCTAGGAATTCATCTCCTTTGTACATCTCCTCCCTGTCAATCATCTTCTTTGACAGGGACCCAGGTGTGATTATGTTGTAATGATAAGTTAGAAATTCATAGCTTCAGCATTTCATGTTGAAATTCTCGTTTCAGTTAAAGCTTTAAATATACTTTAAAATGGTTCAAGCCTTGCCAAACTTTTACACGTGTGCTCCTTAAAAATTCTAACTTATTTCTTTCTCAGATGTGGACTTGACCCTCTCCATAAAAAGATCAAGAACAGATGCAAGAAAGTTTCGGTGAAGAATGAACTTGAATTTCGAAGGCTTGCGTTGTGGTTGACTGAAAGCGAAATTTAAAACCATTTAAAGACCACTGTATTCTAATTCAACAATACCCGATTTCCAGTTACTCATTTCCACAGATAAGAAGAAATCATCTCTACAATGTACACAGTGTTATATTTTATAGAATGTTATTTTCAATTGAGGAAGCAGCTAAAGTGCACTCCGTATTTTACAGAAGGTGGTGATTCAAATTCTAGTTATTGGCATTTTTTTCTTCTTATAACCTGAACAGATTTAAAATTTTTCTCTCTTTGTGGGGGATGATAGGGCACTTGTTAGAGGAAAAACGGGGAAAAGTAAGTGACCACTCCTTTAGAAGTGAGAACAATTTCATCTATTATCACTTATCCAGTGGTGGATACTTCATTTTGATGGCCTCTTCTTTTTGGCTAAATGATAATTGAGTCAGTGCCCCAGACTGTCAGAAGCTGATTGTCTTCTTTTGCATTGCCATTAAAAAATCATGGGGAAAAAATCATGGGAACTTCAGATAAAAGGCATGTTTTCTTCTTAACAGATGGCCAGTTGCCAATCAGCCTGTTGACCGAGAAGGTTGTGGTGGGGAAATGTTTGCCATATTTTCTTGTCGTTTGAATAACTGTCTTGTATTTAGAAAAAACGAATATCTGTGGATAACCACTTTTGGTTATCAATTGTTGCTGACAAACCATCCCAAAACATAGTGGCTTAAAATGACAATTCTTTTTGTTTCTTCCCTCCCTATTCTTCAACTTGGGCTGGGCTCAGCCGAGCTGTTCCTCTGCTCGTCTTACTGGTGTCACCGGTGTCGCTCTTGCTGGTTGGCAGGTTGGCTGAGATGCTGGGATGGCTGGGCGTCTCCCTCTGCATGGGGCCCTCAGGTCTCCTCCTCCATGTGATCTCTCCAAGTGGCCTCGCCAGCAGGGTAGCGTACCTCTCACATGGCAGCTCAGAGCTCCCAAGAGTATAAAGCAGTAGTGGCCAGGCCTTCTTGAGACTTAAACCGGGAACTGTCACAGCATCACTTCTCTTGCCCTCTATTGATTAGAGCAAGTCACAGGCCCAGCCCAGATTCAGGAAGAAGGGACTACAGGAGAGCATGAAGTGGAGGTGTGGTTGTGGTTCCCTGGGGGTCCCCAGTGAGCAGACTGCCAGAACCAGTACCGTGGAAATACAACAATGGTTAGCAAAAGGAGAAGCTGCTAGTGACCTTGGGAAGCTGAAGCTGCTTATAGCTGGTGTCAGCTGGAAGTTCAACTGAGAAAGAGGGCCTTCAAGAAGCTTCCTGCACCAGTTCTGTCACTCTGAGCGTGTTCTCTGAACCATCTCTTGGGAAAACTGGTCTCGTAAGGATGGATGTGTTTAGGGGGCCAGAGCATCTGAAAGCAAGACCACCCCGTTAACCGTGGCACCCACAGAGGGAGGCAAATGTGGTGCTGTCTTCATGTCACTGGCTTCAGTCAGGCCTCTGCGCATGCGTGCAGCTAGGCCACAGTGAGAAGGAGCAACCCTATCGAGGCTGCTAATCAGATTGAATTAGCAGTAGCTCATTTTTGTTTTAACCAAGCAGTAAGATTTGCTAACGTCCTACCGGAAGTGCCTTCAAAACCATCCCTCTTTGCCCCGTGTGTTGAATCATCATTCGGTGAGTGTATTTCAATTAAAATATCATTGGCTGACTTCGCGTAGGTAATAAAATGCTACGGCAGCTTTGTCATTAAGTCATGGTCTCCTTTCTGGAATTCTTGCTTTTGCTCCTGAAAGGAAGGACTAGATTCATACCTGGTAGAAGTTCCCTCCTGAGGTCTCTGCCTCCCTGGAAACCCTGAGGTCAGTTTGGCAGAGCATGGGCTGCCATTTTCACCGAGAAAATGTACAGTGTTCCCTCCTCCCCCACCTCCCCAATCTCTTGAACTTAGAATTGCTTCAGAACATAGGTGTGGCCTGAAGGTCATTACCTTATAAGAGGAATGTAAATGACTACTGTCTTCTTGTCAATCCTGTAAAGAAAGAGATTCCAGTTCAGTATTTGCAACAAGGATTTTGAACCCTGTTCTTTTTATTGCATTGTCACACTGAATGGTTCTCCATTTTGCCTCTATTTTGTGGAATTGTTTTGACTGGACTTGAGGGCCAAAGTCTTTCACCAGCACACAAGGGTTTGATTGTACAAACACATCTGCTGCATTAACGTCTCTGCCGGTAGCTTCAGATCAGGTGTCTTTACCCTTGGGGGCGGGGAACACCTGATCTTGTTAGCTAGCTCTGTTCGTTATAGGACATTGATTTTATTTAGATTTCCCTCCACGAAGTCAGCAAACTGTCATGTTAGGTAAACTCATGCCAAGATAAGATTAGAGGTGTCCCCAGGTTGCTAAGATTTGTTGTGTGTTTAATAAAAGGTGATTGCAGGTTTTCAGATGAGTTTTCTCTATGTGGGATGGAAGCAGGCAGGGGGCGGTAAAGATGGGGGAGCTTGAGGTGTGGGTTTAAAAAAATTGTGGGAATGAAAGTTCCAAAGAGGTGGTTTCTAAGGAAGTCAAAGGGCGCAGGGCCAGAGCAGTAAGTGATAGTTGAATCAGGTTACCTGGAAAATAGGTGTGAGAGACACATGTACGCCGTCTGCTTCTGGGTTGCTGGTAGGCATTCAATTTGCACAATCTCCCATAGCTGGTTGAGTATTTTAAAGTTGTAATAAACATAGGATTTTATATTTGGGGTGAAGAAATTATCTGGCACATGATACTGATTTGTTTTTTTAAGCCAAACTTCCATCTTAATAGCTTTTATAAAAAATAAATAAAAAGACAGCTCATATCTAGTGTGTTCCTTCCTGAAAATTATGGTCATCTGTTGCATTGACATCAGTGACTTTTCAAACGTGGCTAAATGGGGATGAGAAAATATTTGTTCGACTTTCTTGGTGTTTTGCATTCTTGACGGAGCCCCGTTGCTTTGGAACAGCCAAGAAAATCATCAAGGTTCTTTTTAGGGGTTATTTTACTGGGGATTTTAAGAACTAATATAAGGTCTTGGGTTATTTCTAGTTCAGGGGAATATGGAAAAAGGTATGCAGTTGGGAAGTGTTTTGTTGTAGCTTATTAATCCGTATGGGAAACTTAGACTGCAGACATCAGTACAAACCCAGTGCAGTTTTTGCTTTCTGTATGTTGTTGCGGGAATAAAGTTTTCTATAGCAAGCACATGGCCTCCCTGATTTCACGATGCCTTTATTAGGATCTGTATTAGCCCTTAATTGTGTTGAAATCTTTCTCCCTCTTCCTCCTGAAAAAATGAGTTCCAAAATATAGTTTATTGTACCTTCCATCTTAAAAAAGTTTGTTCCTTTTTCACTACGGGCAGTTCAAACAAGGCAAAAATATTTAACAGTTGGTTTTAGTGTGTTGTATAACTTTGCTGTATATCAAACTAATTCTTACAAGTTTTCATCCTAAACCTCAAATCATGTAATTAATAATTTGACTGTTTATTTATGACCTAATTGTGATTCTTTTATTAATAAAAGCTAATAGAAAAGGATCCTTTATTAAGCTGATGACTAGACCTACATTTAATTTTCCTGCAGTATATGAAGTATTGTACCAGAGTATTAAAAGATATGTAATATTTTATTGATAAATCTATCCTTTAAAAGGAATACATTTTAGGATGTCATCATTTTGATGTGAATCATGTAAATGTTGATAATATGCACTGTTTATTATACATTTAGTGTTTCAAAAGATTCACTTAATTGCCTTTTTGCCCACGTATATTGTGTAGTCTATTTGCAATTGTTTAAAAAAAAATGACATTAAAAGAATAGTCTATGTAGAGAAACATTAGTGGATGTTACTTCCCTCCTCACCTGTATTTATGGGTGTTAGTTCAACTGCTTTGCTAGTTGCAAAGCCCTATTATCAGAGTAAAAATGTATTTGTAAACTGTATGGGAACTAAAAATTAGGAATAAAACCATTTTCTTATATTATGGTATTTGTCATTTACTTCATCAGAAATGTGCAGGAAAAACAGATAGTAGGGGGCCGGCTGAGTGGCTCAGTTGGTTAAGAGCTCGCTCAAGAGTTTGAGCTCTGAGCAACAGTGGTTCGAGTCAGCCCGAGCTGAGCAGCCATGAGCTGCCAACAGGTGGCGGGATGGCTCAGCTAAAAAAAAAAAACCAAAACAAACAAACAAACAAAAAAACAGATTAAAACAGATAGTAGGTCACTCAACCCCTTACACTGGCAAAATGCTGACAGCAGCATTTTTTTTTTTTTTTAATGGGGAATTGGGGAATGGGAACATTGTGTTTTTCCAGGACCCATCAGCTCCAAGTCAAGTTGTTGTCCTTCAGTCTTAGTTGTGGAGGGCGCAAATTTCAGCTTCAAGTCCAGTTGCTGCTTTCAATCGACAATAGTTTCCTGGTGGGACGTAGTGGAGGGGTGCGGCGTAGTCTGCCATCCCATGCGGGAGTCAGACGAGTGGAACTGGAAACCTTGCTGCTAAGAACACCTGTTCTCACCAGCTCAGCAGCAGCTCACTGGCCACTGGCCCATGTGGGAATCGAACCGGCAACTCTGTTGCTCAGAGCCTGCGCTCTTAACCAACTGAGCCACTCGGCCAGCCCCTGACAGTAGCTTTTATCTAGAGGGTGGCTGGGAACACGAAATGCATGAATCAGTTCCTCCAGCGTTTATGGAGCGCCTCCTCTATGAATAGCTTTGGGAGACGGAAAGGGAATTCTTTTTGGAAGAACTTATGAGTAAGTAACGAATAAAAAGTGTGTCTGTGTAAAATATACAGGAAATGGCTGCATACAGAGCTGAATGTGAATAGTATTGGGTGGGGATATGAGGTAAAGATACGACGGGGAGGCTTGGAGGAGGAGTGAATTATGTACTATGGGATGTTAGCTCTTCCCTCTAGAGTAGGTTTAGGCCACCTGAACACGGCCATTTGCTTCTGACGACAGCACTGCATTAACACGGGCAGAAAGAATTCATTTGATAAATAACACAGGTAGTTATTTCCTCTTGTGCATCTCAGGAGTTATTTGTATTATTTACACCATAAAACGCTATTGCCCGCCTTTCAGTCTCAACTGAGTTACTTGATGCGTATAATCAGATGCAGCTGGTGTAATTGGTCACACCAGCCACCTATCTGTTCAAACAAATACTGAGCATCTTCAAAATACCAGGCGCTATATAGTAGCTGTGCTGGACCCTGGGGGAAAGCAGTGACTGATACAGACACAGTGGCTGTCATGGAGGTGATGTTCTAACAGGGGAGCTAGGCCTTGTACAAGTCAGAAGGCAGTTACTTATACTTGGGATATTATTATACTACTGAAGAGGCCGGGTGCCAAGACAACGCAGGAAAGACCAAAATTAGACAGCCAATTCCAGATGGGGTGAGGGTTACAAAGGGGGGTGAGGGTACGTGTCACCGGGGAACGGAACTTTCTACAGATGGAGGGCGTCTGCTGGGTTTCCAGACGGAGGTACTCTGGGATTTCAGAAGACATGCTGTGGACACCGTTGGCCCGGAGACGCCTTGTTCCCGTTAATCCTTCCTGAACTGGGCAGTACATTAGAGGGCCGTGGCCATGTCTTGTCTTGGACATGTCATGAAAGAACCTAGTTCTGTAGTTCCTACTCACAAGAAAAACCCCCAAGAAAAGGCGTGGATTAAAACCAAAGCAGGATCCCAGTAACAATCAGTTGTGGACAAAGAGCTAAGGGTTTATTCAGCGTGGCTTCTGCAGGAAGCACCTGCTTATTACTGGATCACATTACACGTATGCTTTGCGTCCACCCACGCGTTTTGAGGTGTGAAAAAGGGGCTGTGATCTCCAGTGAATCGTGTTATTGCCGGTGCTATCTTTTCTCCCTAGGAACTAGCTAAGCTTCCAAGCACTGAATTTGCAAAATGGTAATGAGCCAGAAATAGAAATCTGTGATTTTATCAATAGCAACAGTTACCAGTGAGTTGATATGCGTGTCATTCGAGGTCAGACAATTTAAATCTTGATGTAAAATGTAGCCACTGAAATAAAGATTAGAAGAGAGCAGTACAACACTGCAAAACCTGTGGGCAGTTTATGGACAAAAGAATTGCGTGTGCAGCCCAGGCTTGTCATCTGTACTTGGTAAAACCATAGTTACACTCCACCGGAAAAGAATTGGGGCTTCAAATCCTCTTCCATGCAGCAAAGATTAAATCCCCACTAGAGGGTAGGCACTGGGAAGTAAAACAGGTCCTGCCTTTGAGGAGCTCGGTGTCGTCAGGGAGACAGAGGTAAATACAGATAGTTATGATTTGGTTGGAGTAGACAATAATAAGGGTATTAATTGAAATTGATGGTTACATAGAGGAGTGAATTATATGGGAGTTAGAATTCAGTAGTGGGAGTCACTTAAGCTTATTCTTGACCAGTGGGGAATGTGTGTGCCTGGAGAGAGAGGGAGAGAGAAACTGTCCATTTATTTTCTTGTGGGTTCAGTCAGGGCCAGTTTCTTCTCTGGATCTCTTTGTAGAAATGAACGTACAAGGCCTGTCGCTGTTTCTCTGTTCTATGCTTGCTTCTCCATTCATCTCTGAACAATGGGAAATAATGCTCTCACCACGATCTATACTGTTGGCCTTTCTAGCAATCTAGGATGCATTTTGCAACAAACTATAGTACATATTTTAGTGTTTCCATTCTTCACACACCTAGCCACGACATTTTTAACCATTCAGTTCTTGATGGAATGTGTTCACTAAATTCACTCTTTTGGGTCGTTTAGGCTAGTTTTGCTAGGACTTCCTGGTATAATTTAGAGTATACATTATGCTTTGGAATGAGCCATTTCATTCTGAACGGAATCCCATTTTTTAACGGAAAAATCAAGGTCACGTAGTAGGGCAAAGGATTGTTTTCTCTGCATCGTGTTTTTGTATAAATTCACAAAGTCAATAGAATTAAATTGCAATTTAGTTTTATAATGAATCAGTTTTCTTTAATAGTTCATTCCCTTGCATAGTCTGTATTATTTTGTTAGAGCTGTCATAATAGTGTGCCACAGGGGCCGGCCGAGTGGCGCGTTAAGAGCTGGCTTGGGACGCCAGAGGGCCCCGGTTTGGATCCCGCACATGAGGGCCAGTGACACTGCCCTCTACAGCTAAGATGCTGAACAACAGCTCGACCTGGAGCTGGGCTGCCGTGAGTCGCCGGCGACGGCAGGTGGGTTGCCATGGACTACCGTGTGTAGCCAGCAGCCAGCGTGAGCGGCCAGCAGCCAGCGTGAGCGGCCATACATAAGCCATTGACTGATCTGCCTCACCTGGGAAGAGCGCAATGATGGTGCCAACTTGGGCCAGTGAAGCAATGTCCTTCACAACTAGACTGAGGAACGAAAGGACAGCAACTTGTCTGTTCCCTTTCCCCCAATTCCCCAATTAAAAAAAAAAAATCTTAAAAAAAAACCAATGTGCCACAGACCAGGTGGCTTAAAAACAGAAATTTATTTTCTCCCAGGCCATCTAGAAGTCCCAGATCCTAAGTGTCAGCAGGGTTGGTTTCTCCTAAGGCCTCTCTCTTTAGCTTGCAGACCCTGCTGCGTCCTCCTCATCTGGTCTTCCCTCTGGGCCTTACTAAATTTATTGAGAGAGAGAACATTATATTCAATCAGGGCTATTCTAGAAAATTCAGGTGGTCTGGGCCCCCGAGTTTTAGCAGCTGCGCAGAGCGGTCTTCCAAGTGATGGTATTTGAATGTGTCTTGTGTGCTTGTCTTTATTTTTAACCTTTTTCATTGTGCTAAAATACACAAAATATAAAATTAACCATCGTAACCGTTTTTAAGTGTCGAGGTCAGTGGCATTAAGTCCATTCACATTGCTGTGCAGCCATCACCACCACCCATCTCCTGATGAGCTATTTCATCATCACAACGGAAACTGTATCTATTAACCAATTTGTCTTTGTTTTTTTTAAAAAAGAGTCGTCCGTACCCCCCCTCCCCCTGCTTAGGCTTAAAGCTCTTCTGAGTTTTAAAATTGTATGTATTTTTCAATAGGTAATACATTCACTTAGAACAAAATTTGGAAAAAGGTTCAAAACAGCATACCGTGGGAAATCTCTCCGCCATGCCATAAACTGTGTTTCCCATTATACTCCAGGATCACAAAAGCGACCATGAACTTTGCACTTTTCTCCCAGCTGTAAAAGTGCTGGTTCCAAGGGCTTTTACATTTGTTACTCGGATAGCTAATGCCACATTGTCTCCCATGAGACTGAACCTAGTTATATTCCTATCAGCCTGCTTCCCTGCACCTTTAACAGATTATCATGTTGTCACACTTGTACCCTTGTCGGTCTGATAGATGAAAGATGATAATTCAATGTAATTAAGTTTACATTCCTCTTAAAAGTGAGGTGAGCATCTTTTTGATTGCTTTGTACACGCCTTTCTGTGAACTCTTGATGTCTCTTGACATTTGTTTCTGTTGAGTGCTGGATCTGTCTTGTTTGGAGTTTAGGAATGAAAATATTAATAGTTAATTCTCTCCGACAGACAGACATGACAGGAATAACTGAATCACCAAGATCAATTTCTATAAAATACTCCTCTAGGTGCATGTGGGATACACCTGTCCGTGAATTGTGGTTTTGGCCTCCCAGTGATTGTAATTTTCAGTGGGGATGAGAACAGGCTGGGAAAGACATTCCCTGCACCCAGGGTGTTTGCTGCCCAGGGTGCTGAAGCAGCCACATGGGACCAGTCTTAATTATGCTGGGTAGTGAGTTGAGAATTACTTCAGATTTTCTTTTCAGCTTCAAAAATACCAAACAGTATTCATGCATGCATCCATTCAACCACTTTTTAATGAGTACAGTGACTCAAGCCTCCGGCAAGGTGCTGTGGAGAATACAAAACAAATCTCTCTCTTAATCCCTGTCTTAAAGGACTTTATGGCCCATTTAGGGAAAGGAGACACCCAA